TATAAATGTGAATGAAGCCCATCAATTATATTATTCAATAACAGTGAGGAAAAGAGAGAGAACAGTTTCTAGATTTTATTAGTTCCTATTTTCCAGGTTTAAATCTTTCAACTACTACTATGGATTAAGGTATGTTTCTTGATCAATTAATCTATATGTGAAAATCTGAATCCTAAAGATCTTGGTATTAAGGTTATATAATTGCTTACACGAAAATCTCGGAACAAGTGAAAAGAAAAGAAAAAAATACACAAGCCAGAAGAACCATTGTTTTAAGCTGAAAAGCTTTGGTTCTCTTTGGTTTAGCGCTATTACATTAAGCAGCAGACTCTGAGACTATGAAAACTAGTGCCAGTAATAGCTCAATGGAAATTTGCAACCAAAGTTTGCTGTTTAGCTATGTTTCCATGAAAATCATCCAAATTCCACAAACATTCCCATAAAATGTCCTCACTTGAGGCATCGTGTCCGGTTGCATAGCCGTTGATCATAGAATATAGGAAGCCAAGATCATCTGACGCGTTCCGATATATGATTTCTTGCTTCATTTGAGCCAGAGTTGGCACACTATTTTCACTCTCGTCAAGCAATGATATGACTTTCTTCATGTTTATTTGATCTTCTTGTTTTTCTCGCTGCTGTAATTGAAATTGTTGCCTTCTCAGAAGGTGGGCTCGCCGTTTTTCAGGATTTTCCGAAGAAGCTTCTCCTTTTTTCTTGAAATGAGTCCTCCAGTAGTTCTTGATTTCATTGTCAGTTCTTCCTGGTAGACTTCTAGCAATTGTTGACCACCTATTCTCCAGAATTCGTTGAAAGTGATCAAGTTGTAAACTAAAACATTATGAGCTTGTTCAGTAAGGTAAATAGTATATACCTGTTACCCCATCTAGCATGTAGCTCAAGGATTATACTCTCTTCATGTGGGGTTATCTGTCCCCTCTTCAGGTCTGGCCTAAGGTAATTTACCCATCTCAATCTACAGCTTTTCCCATTCCTTTTCAATCCTGTGAAAAACAAATAAGCAAATAAAACAACTGAATATGATGCAAAAGTTGATAGCAATTTATCGAGTACACTGCCCAGTCCAGCATAATAAACGTGCCAATATAGTACTTAAAAGTGCACGGGGATGGAGTTTTTTAGTGAGTTGAGTACCTACAAGCCTAGATACATTATTCCATCTTCCTTCACCATGCAATTTGACATATTGAATGAGCAACCTGTCTTCTTCTGCAGTCCAAGGGCCCTTCCTCCACCCTCCTCCTATGACGTCCCATCCCATATTTTGTGCCATAGACATAAAAGAGGAAAAAAAACTATGTTTTTGTTCTGTAATATGTAGGATTTTTATTCTTAAAATTCCCTGACATAAGGTACTAGTGTTTGTTCCACATTTATACTTGTACTCTGGTCTTGTTTCATTCCATCAGTCAATTCATGTCCTTATCAAATTTTTAATGTGCTCCACATAAGCTAAAGATCAACTATGCTGTACCATTTTGAGCTGTGGAAATTACTATAGTACCCTTACTCATATCTTGATCAATATGGTTGTTATTGTATTTAATAAGCATTAATCGATTTTTCTATTTAAAGTGAGATTGTATTAGATCGTTACCATGTAACCTGAGAGCGATATGTCTGTTGGGATGTTACCAACTCTTTGTAGATTAGACGTACACAATATGTGTTTTAATCAGTATCAATGGAGAGACGTGATATGAAGGTGAGATATGTAACAACTCTAATTGAGTTGTATACTTGCAACTACACCGGCAACCTCCCTGTACGAGCTAGCTTCGAGGGAGTAGTGTTCTCATAAAGAGTAGATCCCCTTCTAGGTCTTGGTCATATCACTATTGTTGCGTACAAAGTAACCTAGAAAATGCTACTTTGAGTAGAAAACTGGTTCCAAAGTCTTGTTGGTCGAGAATGTCATTATGAAAGGAGAGAAAGCACTATCTAAATTGATTCGTTTATCCAATAAGCTCCAATCGCATCATAGGCATTAAAAAATAAAAAATAAAAATTCGTACACTTATATTTATCATTGTTACTTCTTTTATTTTGATAGTTTATTGATTTTATACATATTAGCACAAATACTTTGACGATTCCCACTTGTTGTCTTGTAAATACTGTCTTTTCTTATGTGCCGTCCTTTTGGGTGGTCTATCATCGACCCCTTCATTGGTAATACACAACCAATGAGTGGATTTAAAGACACTTAAGGGAGACCTAGCTTTTTCAGCTCTCTTACAAGTTGGTTGCAAGTGCGAGTTCTATCTAAGATGGCTAGTCACGAACGATGATTGTACTATAATCAAGATATGTTAATAATAATCATAATAAAAAAAAAAAAACCCCTTGAAGCACTTACTAATTTTTCCGATTAAAATAATAAGTGGGTGCTTAACTCTTGAACATGAAAACAACTAGAAGGCCAATAAGCCTTCACCAAGTGTTGGGATTTGTTTACATTTTAAGAAGATATATATTGATACACAGTGATTAATGGCCATGATATTTATTGATTAAATATAATTTGTTGGATACGATTTTTTGGCATTTAGAGGACAGGTGGTACGAATGTGATGAGTTTCGACATAGTGCTTTGGTGATCAAAGAACATTTTCTTAGCAAGTTCAATGGGGATTTTTTTTCTTAGACCCTTTGACAAGAAAGGGTAAAAACTTGAGTTTATTTATTCGATACTAATGTATTCAACTTTATGAACAAATTCTTGGTTGGTATCAATACATATACACTCTGTTTGATTTGACTTTTGAAAAGTTAAAAGTGAGTTTTGAGATTAAAAGATTGTTTGAAATTTTTTTTGTCGCCCTCCCTTGACTGATTTTGAAATCCCCTTATTAAAAAAAAGAAAGAAAGAATTCGACTCTATGTGCGCCGGTGGCTAAGTCTTCATAACAATATATTTTTGCTAAAGTATGTTGTCTAATTAAAAGAGATTTTGGAGTAAGTTGATCAAATGTTAATTCCTGAAGAAGTTTTGCTACAAAAAGCGGAATCTTTCTTAAATATGCCTAAACTAGAGTTTGATCATTAATTGGTTTATACATGTGTTATCTCGATCTTGTTCAAAAGTTTTGAATTTCATAACTAACCCTTCAAGTTTATTTACCCGATGAAAAATGAGAATACACGTTAAGTATGGGGTGCCGCCAATCAAAAATAGATTAAGAGAAGGACGACTTTGGTGAAAGAGTCGCGTTTTGCAATGACCTAAATGAGGTTCATATTGACAGGAGTGATGCAAAGGCAATCTAAACTGAAAATATGAAGTTTGACCCAACATAGGAGAAAACTGAATTGTATGAACATCATAGGAGAAATCTGAATTGTATGATTAATCATCTAGAAATAAACACAAAATTGATCACGGAGAAACCCCAACTCGTTAAAACTCTGGACACTTTGCCAATCAACAATCCACTATAAACGATTTAAAACTTACAGTTCGCCGACTCGACTACCATTAGTACTTTCTGACCTCCAGACTGCAATTCCAACAGTTCTCCTGGATTTCGTGTTCCTGTACCAACTCCCAGCTGCAGTTTCCAAAACTCTTCTCGATTGCGCTCTCCTGCAGCAACTCCCAATTTTGTGAAATCATCTATCTCCTGTAAATTAATGAAGAACATCATGTTCTTCAACGACTGAAACTCCAGTCACCTTTCCTTGATCTTCAGAACTTCTGACAGATATGAAAGAAGCAGCTGTTTAGTAATTGGATTGTGAGTTTGATGTTTTACCTGCAATAGCTAATAACGGGAGGAAGGTTAAAAGCAAATTTACTTAAAATGATATGAAAAAGATTATGTTTTTCACAGTGTTCAACATAGGAAAAATCGTTAAGAGGCGTTTAGGTATTTATATGTAGGTCAAGGTATGAACTTGCCAATAAAAAGCCTTTAAAAAACTAATTAAAATTTTTTCGGATAAACCTGTCTCTCGAACGTGAGCTGGGCGGCAGGCGAGCGGTAGTGTGTCCCTTGAGCGAAGGCAGGCTAGCGACGTGTTACTGTTTCTGACGCTCGAGCCAAGTCTGGGCGACAGTCCAGCGAAATTGATGCGCCATTTTTCCTTTTTTCAATTCTCGAACCCTAGACCTAAAATAACTCAATTTTCACTATTTGCACATAACTCCTTGACTTTTACAACATGTTCATTTATCAAAACCCATTTCTTGAAATAGACAACTTAAATACCCAGTGTAAAATGTATGTGAAACAGTACTAAGTGTAAAAGCAATTCAAGCATGTAAATCAAGTAGTTCACAGTGTAAAAGTGATTTAAGCAGTTAATAACTCATAATGCATCGTTGCCGTTTTATATCATAAACTAAATTAAGATGTAATATTAATGCAACCCAACATACCAAAACGAAACATTGATACTCAAAACATCAAAACTTAATCCAGCAATAATGATATCATCATTTAATCAAAATTTTAGATACATCATGNCCAAAACGAAACATTGATACTCAAATCATCAAAACTTAATCCAGCAATAATGATATCATCATTTAATCAATATATTAGATACATCATGTCAAGTAGTTAAAATCATATACATCCTCAAAAATACTACTCCATCATCAAAAAAATATATACAACTGCTTCCCCATTTTGTTATAAAATAACAAGGGGCAACCTAACAACTAAGCTGCATCATCAGAATTCGTCCTTTCGTCAGAGGCTGCACCATCATCCCAATGATGACGAATCTAGCGTAGACCTCGCTGAAGATAACCAACAGCACCACGAAGCATAGTAAACTCAGTAGTGTGTCGATCAACAGTAGCTCGCAACTGTGTAATCTCCGCCATTATACGAGCCTGCTGCTCGATCAGTATAGTCATCTGTCCCATAAGCGCAACAGACGGGTCAATGGAAAGATACAGAATATCAGCAGGTGGATGAGTAGACTCAATGGAAGGAGGAGCATAAGTAGCTGACAAAGGAATATCAGTGGGTGGAGGAGCAAAAGAAGAATGAGGGAAAAACGAGGGATCGAAAGAGAAAAGGTCATTGATAGGATCAGTTGGCACAGTTGATTCAACTGGTTGAGCTAGCTCAGAAGAAGCACGTGACCGACTCTCAGAGATAGTGATATGACCAATCGGTCGAGAAGCCCGCCTTGGAACCCCCTCAGGAAAGCTTACCCCTAGGGCTATCACTAATCGATAAATCAAACACGTATAAGGTAGCCCACCCTAGTCCCCGTGACTTGAAAAGCATGAAGAATCTACTGGCAAATGAACGAGGGTAAATCAATGGAATTGCCATGTAGCAAACAGTAAAGAAAACGAGTATTCTCCATAGGCAACGAAGAAGTATGGGACACGGGCCATAGATTCATGCACACAACGCGCAACAGAATTTAACGATCAATAGGAAGAGAGCCAGTGCGGATCGTACCAAGGCCTCCTTCCAACGGTGTGTTAAACACCGTCGAATAGACAAGAGATTCCACCGGAAGGGTATCAGGTGTCAAGTATGGAAATAAGATGTGGATGCCTCTAGGGATATGAGCTATGCTAGACACGATGTCATGAGTGATCTTAATCGTCTTACCCCGAAGAAAGCCTCGAAAAGATGAACCGCTAACGTCGTGAATGTTAGCATAAAACTTGTGAACTAGAAGACTAGGTGGGGGGTGATAAATCGACTAGTAAAGATCCCAACCTCGAGAAGTGAAAATGGCAACGAGGTCGGGAGAAAGGTCAGATAAGACTACTTCGTGCTCTACTAGAATAGGACGCAATGAAAACTAGGTCCCAAACACCTCCTGGGCAGTAGCGGATATGAACCGTGTCCTACTGTACGAAGAGGAGGCATTAGGAGTCGGAGCAGCAGTACGAGCTCTCTTAGGCAGCATCTAAAATGGGTAAAACTAATATATCAACACCACGAGGAAACACATGATATACATGAGATACATGAATGCACGCAAATCGAGGCACACGGTACATATGCAACGCACCCGAGGATGAATGCCCATAAATGTGCCGTGATACCTAGATGGAGGTGACATGATGCAATGATGGTAGGACATCTTGATATGATGCCCTGACTGTGAGATACGATGAAGTGACGTGTGCCATGAAGACAAGACACGACACCTATGACGTATGTGAGCTGATCACATAATCACGTGACGTCATCTCGTGGTGTCAACATCTAAACAATGTAATGAACATAGGGCGTATGCATGAACAAGACTACAAATGTGAACACCATCCCAACCAGAACA